GGCGGATGAAACCTTCTCATCTGATGCAAAACTTGGGGACAGTTATGCAACGCATGTAAGCGTGGTCTAGTGGTTAAGTTGCAGCGCTTGCGCCGCGATGACCCGGTTTCAAATCCGGGTGAGATCTGTGTTTTGGATTAAACTATATATATTACATTCTATGACAGATTGCTCAAAAACGGTAAAAGGTAGAAACAAGCCGTTTTTTGCAGATTAAAGCTAAGAGCCTAATCTTTCTTTTGGCCCTCGATGCTTATATAGACTATAAATATATATTTATACCTACTATAAAATAGACCTTTTTATGTAGTTATGTGGTGGGTATTGGGGCCCCCAAGGACTCTGTTGTCTGGGGCCCCAGGGTACCCTTGGAACGCCACTGCCCGCAGGTTGGCAGAGTTGATAACTTGTTGGTATTATTTGCAGTCGATCTGACTACTCAACAAATGAAGTCTATGTTGGGAACAGGATTCGAACCACCAACCTTCAGCTCAGAGGCCACATGTTGAGCTACTGCCGCCACTGAGATTATCTGGAGATAAATAGTGAGGCCAATGGGGAGAGAGCTCGCCTGTTAATCAAGGTTTGGATCTGACTCGGAGAAGCAGAGGAATGTGAACATGTGTTTAGGCAGAGATTACATATTCAAATTTCAAACTGTAACTGATAATTACTAAATATAGATTTATGTTCTGTAAGAATACTGATCCTTGAGTATTGTTCTGATTTGGATAATTAGATCATCTCGTTTCCTTAATTCAGCAGTAATAGCAGTAAATCAAAGTGAAACAGAAAAACTCTTTTCTATTCCAAATTCAATATGTTACTTGATAAAATGCTCCAAATGTAAGTATGACCCCTTCGTCTTTCATGTTTCTACGGCATGGTGGTGCAGTGCTTGCGCTTCAGAGCAAGAAGGTCCTGGGTTTGGTTCTACCTCCAGGCCTTTCTGTGTGGTTAGCATGTTCTCCCCTACCACTACAAAAATGTACAATAGGTCTGGCATGGGCACCCATCTCTGTGTGGAGTGAGAAACAAATGTCCACAATTGTAAAGTGCTTTGTGACTCTGGTCGGTGAAAGGTGACATATACTGTAAAGAAAGATTACTTACTTCTGCGTCTGTTCACTACAGCCTCATTCTATATTTTCACACTTCTCTGTAGAGCCGCTCCTCAGCGCCTCGGCCTGCCACACGTCCGTGGATTTAATGTCTTGTATCCATTAACAGGCGGCAATGAAAGTGATGTGTTTCTCCTTCCTTGGCTCATATTTTAACTTGCAGCTAATCAATACGGAGGAGCCTTGAAGTGAGGCTATGGGCTACTTCTGGCACCAGCACTGGTCGTGAGGCAAGGGGATACTCAACATGTCTGCGTTTATGCATGAATGCATGAGGAGATGTCAATGTGCCTTTTTAGATACACGGCTGCAAACATATTCTAGCATACATGCATTTTTAAATGCCTCAAACTGAACCTTCCACATGTAAGAGTTTGTGTTTTACACAACATTGCAAAAGCTTGTGATACTCAAAGGGTAGTAATCATGTACTGTATTTTACGACACGTACAGGATGATGGGAAAATGAAGTAATTGTTTAAGGCCTTTCTCCATTCAATGTACGTCATATTATCTAAATTGCCTCATTCATAAGGAAAAGTTGGGAATTTCACAGCTTGAGGCCCGTGTATAGCTATAGAATGGTAAAATATAGACCTGCAAAGAAAGAATTTTGTTTCCAATTGATGTGGGTCAGTGATAAATGAATAGGCCCCTTTTTAAACATTATGATTATATGCATTTTATTACCAAATACTGCATATCTTTATTAGATTTACTTAGACACAGTATTATAACAATGAGACAGTTTATTGTGCAGTATATGTGCAGTAAAGAGATAGAAGAGAGAGTAAAAATCGCGCAGATTATTGTAGCCGTTCTTCCATTTCCACATGTTTTCTCGTTTTAAGATATGGTCTCCCCTCATACAGTCTACCACCAACAGGCTCTGATTGATCTGACTTATACAATAGGCCTACTTACATGCAGATGGCCGAGCAGAGAGCAGGCTATGGACAGAGGCCATTCAGTAGTATAGTATATTATAACTATTGATAAATGTCAGTATATCACTCTCAGTATTTCAATCATCTCTGTGCGTGTGTCTGTTTGTCTGGATTGATCTGAAATTGGGGGTGTAGATAATAAAAATGATAATAGATGTTTATTTGTATAGCACTTTTCAAAAACAGTGTTTACAAAGTGCTACACAGTCAGCATAACAATCAATAAAAACAGTCATAATAATACAAAGTCATAATAATGAAGGTAGACACAGGAAGACAAAGCAGACGAGACGATCCACTGTGATGCTGAAGCTGGTGAAGAAGCTGTTGATGGCTGCTCGCTCTAGTTTCAGTTGATCCTTGCATGCTTGCGTAATCCTGTACATTCAAGGATTTGGTCGTCAGAAAAGATCTGTTCCACCTAACGCAGCCCATTTCTCCTTGCATGTTTACAATTATTATAATTTTTAGTCATTTATTTCAATCTGATTTCAGGTCAAACTTGTTGGTTTTCTTCCATTCCATTCTTCCACATAAAAAAACATAAAATCTGCTGGCTATGATGATGACAATGAAACGCTTTCTATGATAAAAGGTACTTTCCAATTGTTCTGGGTTAGGGTTGTATTAAACCTTTTAGTGCAAAGGCCATGTTAGTTCACCAGACTTGTCCAGTGGCCGACAGATTGCAAAACCGTTTTGACTGGAGTCCTCCTGCTCTGTGCTTTAAAATGGGGCATGATGTTTCCTTATTGATTCACATTCGCCAGATCTGTACTATCTCACCACGGCTACACTACTGCCCTATATAGTGAAGTTTGTGACACAATTAAAAATGAAGTAGGATTTATACAAATTAAGTCCATCCATCCATTCATCCATTTTCTTTCCCTTCCATTTCTGGGTCAGGGGGTGGCAGTCAGAGCTGCACCCAATTCACGTAGCACCAGCTCCTCACTGATCCTGCAGGTGGTGAGTGCACAGGAGCACAAATTAAGTCAATTATTGAATTCCAAGGTCTTTACAACGCTATACGATACGGTATGCGGTGCCTATATTGGCGAAGCTGAAGTTGGCTGGATGACACTGTGAACTGTTACTGATCTCTATGACTTATTTGTTTTAGCAAGGCAGAGGGCTGCATAAAATGCCACAGGCTATACCGTATTTGGCCCACGGGTCTTCGTTTGGACATGTTTGTCAATTTGTCTCTCCCTCGGTTACATTTGCACTAAATGTTGTTGTTTTGTACATTACATTAGAAACAGGCCTGTGATTTCACTATTGTCATAATACAACAACACTGTTTCATAACACTATTGTCTTTAAGTCACAATTTATGTCCGTGGAGAGGTGAGTCTTCTTACTGTAACCATCCATAATAAGGAAAGAAAGATTATTTTCTAATTAACAGTAAAAAAAAATAGTGCAAAGCTGTTCTCATGTTACATACATTTATAGTTATGTAAATGAGAGTAAAAGTATTCTGAGTACTCTGATGTACTGTAATGGAATATGTTACAAGCTAAATTATTTCTTCACTTCAAACCCACAGCAGAGTCTGATAACATTCTGTTAACCACAACATGCATTAGAAAACATGCTATCTTTTGCATACTTGTAAGAAAGAGCCCTGTAATATTTGACTCTTTGAGCTTTTCTGACCGAAAAAGCAGATATAAACGCGTGACAGAAGCCACCAATGCATGCATGTGTTTTGTTACAGAATTGTATTACATAATTCTATACTTTTGAATATTAAGAGACCCCAAATTTAAAACAAGTATTCAGTATTCTGTACCGAATCACATTCAAAGTATTTTCCCCAACACTGTGTCGCGTGTGTATGTAATATTCACAACAATACGTGTGTGTAATGTTTTTAACAGCGAAGGTAGGGGGCGCTCGTGCACAGAGAGAGGCAGAGAGAGAGAGAGAGAGAGAGAGAGAGAGAGAGAGAGAGAGAGAGAGAGAGAGAGAGAGAGAGAGAGAGAGAGAGAGAGAGAGAGAGAGAGAGAGAGAGAGAGAGAGAGAGAGAGAGATAGAGAGAGAGAGAGAGGCAGAGAGAGATAGAGAGAGAGAGAGAGAGAGATAGAGAGAGAGAGAGAGAGAAAGAGGGGGCCGCAGGGTGCAGAGCGGAGGTTACCACAGGACACTGCCTCCACCACAGTCTGTCCAGATCAGGACCTCACGGCGCACACACACCGCGCACACACACCGCGCACACACAGATAACAGGAGTGAGAAGTGGACCAACCCGGGACATTCTGCGCCTTTTGACTCCGCGGCGCTTCATATCTGGCAACTTCAGAGGATTTCGCATCATCTTTCGGACGCGGACACTTTGAAGCGTTTTTGTTTTGACTCTGTGAAGCTATGCGAGCGAGGGGAGACCCGGTGTTTCTGTAACCCGTAGGACATTTATGTTTCCGACCCAGCCTTCGCTCCTGACTGCGTCTATTCCCCGTCGCCCCTAACGCCAAGGATACGAGTGACCATTTCCCAAAGTCAGGCAAAGGATTACCGCTGTGACCAGTCTAAGCTAGGAACATGCTAACGATAGTAGCGAGCAGGGTCAGCTGTAAATAGTAGCCTCCAGTCTGTACTCTCGTTTCCTGTGCGTTTTGTGCGGCTCCAAGTCCAACTTCTCGGCGTTTGGAGCAACGAGCGGGCCGCCTGTGTCTCTGGTGTCTCCGGGACTGAACTTTGAATGTAGACCCGCGGTGTTGCTCCAAAGAGGCTAAAAGGTCACCGCGGAGCAGTCTTTGCCCTGGGCCGCCCCTCCTCCCCCTCCTCCTCCTCCTCTTCCAGGAGTTTTGGGATGAAGATGTGAAGTCTCTCCTTCCGCTCTGTCCTCTCCGCGCGCTTCGCTTTGATCTCGTTCCCACTCTTTTTTTCTCGTTCAAAGAAAAGCTCCATCCTCACCTCGGGGATGTACAGCGAGAGCGTGGATGTGGTGGGTTTAAGCCCCACTCCCAGCAGCCCCAGCCCTGGCTCCTTCCTCAGCATGGACTACTACCACAGACCCCCGGGGCTCGGCCCGGACAAGGGCCTGCTGGCCGGGGTTGGGGGTCTTCAGAGGCCGTTTGGGGGATCTCTGGTCACCGGGAGGCATTGGAGCGGATCCAGTCACTGTGAGTGTTTACTGCTGTCTCCTTTCACATGATTATCTACAATAATTATCTAGAATACCTTCAAGAATACTTTCTAGGACTGTAATGACCGAATGCATTCTTTGTTGACTAAAGCCATGCTCAGTCGATCGATTAGTCGACTAAAAAGGGGTGTAATTAAAGCTCCAGAAACACAATTATTTTAGGCATTAAATAATGCTTTTAATAAAGAAAACCCTCTGAAGTGAGAGTATGATCTGGCTTGAATATCAAAGCAAATGCCTAGATCTTCAGCAATTTGCCTCTGAACAAACAGTTTTTATGCAGACATCATATTAATGTCTGCATAAAAACTGCTTGTTTGTTCTGTAGTAATCACAAAAATACTTTCTACATTTTGTGAGATTGGGAGACATATGACTTTACAATAACCTACGTAAACAAACAAATGCCATGATATAACTTACAGTATAGGTCCAGCTTTAACAGAAATACTTACAGCTCTTTAATGTCATGCATTTACACATGGTTACACATATTTACTTACATTTGCACATGGTTACACATATTTACTTACAGTCTGTGAACAAGAAGACAATTAAACATTCCCAAGATAATAAGATCCATCAGCATGGAGGATCTACAAGATGAGAATATTTTAGCAAATATGGATCAGGTAGTTCTATGACACAGCTCATATTCGGATCTTTAATCTTTTTGATTCATTTAGAACAAATATATATTGGATGATATCAACCAAGGACGCCATACAAAGTTATTACGTAGTTACAGCAGGAATATCAACACAATTGGACCCATTTCAAACAAGGCTCCTGGGATTTAAAAGATGAATAAATGCTGTTCTCAGTTAAGTGTTGAGTGAATACATGTTCGGCTGGTGTTGAAAGCCAAAGGATCAAGTTTGGTATTGAACATGAAAAAAAAATGCATCCATTCAAAAGTAACATTTTAGTGTAATAAAACATCAAGGAAAAATACCATTTATTTTGTGGCAAACTTAAGACACACATTTCAAAACTAATTTGGGTATTGTTGTTGTAATACTCCTAAATATTAATATATGTGTTTCCCCCACCCCCATTTTGAATTAACACAATTAGCTCTGTTCTATTTATTACGTGTTAGTAAAATCCTCCTTCAATCCAGAATCAGAACTCTTTTGTTGCCATTGTGAGAAACAAGAAGTCGCAATCTAGGAAACTAGAGTTAAATATAGAGTGGTATGTATAAATAAAAAAATCTATTTAACGTTTCTTAAAATGTCTACTATAAACAAGTTTACTAAGGTCACACAAACTAGTTCATTGTCGATTGAACCTTGCAACATTAACCATCAGCGAGGATAATCCGAGGGGAAATCCTTTATGCAAATTAAAAGAGCAGGTTTTCATACCATTCAGTAGTTATTAATGTTATTAAGTAGTTATTAATGCGCAATAGACTTAGTCTGTGTAAAAGTTACCAGAGTGCAACCGTTGTACTCTGTTAGTTAAGTCAATGACACTCTGCTTTTGTTGATCACCATTTTCTTCTGCCCTAACACCCCTGACGCTTAAACATTTTCCACTGCCATTTGGAACATTGTGGATTAATGTTCATTGCTTTAAGAAAGCATTTTTTTTGGTTGTTTTTTTCTCAGATGTAGGAACACTGAAAACACAAATAATGTGTTTTTACGTTTTAAAATTTTTATTTGAACCCCTTGTTGTTGTTGTTTTTTGTGTGTCTGTGTGTAGGCCTTTACCAAACAGTTGAGATGCAGTTTGAAGGTAAAAGTGCCTAAAACCAGGTGAGATTCTCCTTAGAGGTAGATTTCAATTCCAAGCATGTGTAAAGTAGATATTGACTCAAAAGGTGATCTACCAAATGGTTGAGTAAACTATTAAAGAGTTAATCCGGCAAAAAGTCATTTACAGAGCAACCTAAATTTATGCATTCATTCTTCAGAGGTATTCTTCTTACAACTCCAAACACAAAAGGCCCGGCCTGCCTTCCTGCAATGTTGCTAATGAAGTAAGTTAAAAATTAGCTTTCAATGGATGTAATGAATCACCTCCAAGTGAATCCCTCTTTGCAACTTTGTTGTAAATGAGACATCTACTCCGCTTGAGCCTTTTATGCTGCACCGAGATTGGCTTAATCTCCAAATGACTTGAACCAAAAGGTCTGGTAAATCCTGACTCCGCTGTCTCCTTAGATCAGCCCTCTCTATAAACAAGCTGATAAGATAAATAAGGCTCCACCTCTGAGTTACATGGTTGAAAGCCTGGCAGTAAACTCCGAATCGGTGGTGTGTGGATGTCGGCGTGACTCGGACTTTGGTCACAGGGAACAAGGCTGAAGCCGCTGAGAAACAGAAGGGCTGCTGGGTGATGTATGGAAGTCAGAGCGTTTGAGATCATAAATTACAGCCGTAAAGATCGGGAGGTGTGTGTGTGTGTGAGTGGAATGAAAAGAGTCGACCGCGTTCAAAGGTCAAAGGGCCTACAGAGACGCAGGCACGCACACACATTGAGCAATTCCCCCAATACGTCAACTCTAAACAGTTTTGGGTGTGATCCAGTGCAATGACTCAACTGACAATTGGGAAGTGACCTACATCTCCGGCTCGGTCTTTATTCGGTCTTTCTATCTGGCTCTTTTTTTCCTGTGGCAGCTGCCCAGTCATCGCTTCTCCCTTTGCACTGAATGACCTCTCTCTTGTGTCTGCTGGACACTCTCACAGTTTGTCTGGGAATGTGAGGCTGTACTGAGCAAGTCTGAACTGAGTGTGAGAGCGTGAAAAGGAAGAGAGAGGTTAGCGCTGCTGTTAAGAGTAAACGCCTTTACTTTTGTCGCTTGATCAAAGTTAAGAGAGTCTGGTTGCTCTGCGCTCTGGCAACACTTCAAATGAAATCAATATTGGATTCAATTAAGTAGCCCTATGTATTAGTGTGCCTTTATATGTGTGACTTTTATATTACTATCATTCTTTGTACATGACCGCAGGCTTTGTGTACATTGATACACTCACATCCCTGATCCATTGTGCTCCTAAATTAAACATTCTTAGTTTTATTAACTTTCACTGCTCTGTTTATAAACCCTTTTGCAAAATAATCGTAAGTAATCCCCTAGGAACAAGTCAATTATTTGTATTATTCATGAGTCTGCTTGACCACTGCAGCGCTGGCCAAGTTAAAGGGTTAATGGCTCTACTTCCAAACATAACAAAAGTGAATGGATTAATTGTAAAGTAAAAATATAATCATAGACCTCTCATAGACTCTACTTGAGCCGTCAAGAAACAACCTGTTGTTTTAAAGTGTTGTATTTCTGTGTATTTCTATATTCATACTGCATTAAAGGTTATGGAGGTAATTTTGTTCAAATATATTATTACTATATTGTATTATGTTCTGGCAGATATTTCTGAATTGTGTCTTTAGTTATGTTTGAATTGGACCAAATCTGGACATGTGTTAAAGGATGACAATTGACTAATAGGTCAAATGTATATTTTTAATTAAACAATACCTAATTGTTTGAGTTCAATGTATAAAGTTGAAATGAATGATGTGGCTGTTCTTGTGTATTCCTGAGAATATTAGCTTTGAAATTACTGTATACAATTCCACAATAGCCTTATTAAGTTAATTCTAAGAATTGAAAAAAGTGTCAGGGGCCACAAACACACTGTTGTGTGGGCCACATTTGGTCCGTTCTGAATATACTATATACTGAATATACTGGGCGGCACGGTGGCTGAGTGGATAGCACTCTCGCCTCTCAGCAAGAAGGTCCTGGGTTCGAATCCTGGTTGGACCAGGGCCTTTCTGAGTGGCGTTTGCATGTTCTCCCTGTGCCTGCGTAGGTTTCCTCCGGGTGCTCCGGTTTCCCCTACCACTAAAAATATGTACAATAGGTCTGACATGTGCCTCCTGTACTGGCACCCCCACTCCCAAAAATAACAATTGTAAACCGCTTTGAGACTCCGATGTGCAGTGAAAAGGCGGTATATAAATAAAGATTACTTACTACTACTACTTACTTCACTTCTCTGAAGCTCTGCGCCACATTCACACAGGAGGAAAATACCAATATTTGAACGTTTGACTTGCCAATTTTCAATTTTGAAGGCAGATTAATATTCTTGTATTTGCACTAGTTAGCAATGTGACATTTACAGATTAGATGTTATTATGAGATCCCTTGATAGGAATTGGATCATTTAAAGTAGAGAAAGAGGCATCGTTGTCTGGGTAGATGTATTTTATTTGTCATTTTTCATCCGTAGTTATTTTTGTGTCTTTATTTATTTTACCGTTTGGAGCTAGTTTGATTAAATTACTTGGTCTTTGGGATGAAACAGAACTGAACCAAAGGTAAAGAATGCTGAGTTTTGTAGACCGATTTACAATCCATTTAAAATTCTTTTTTTATCAATTCCATTTTTGGTTCTTTGGTTGGTTATTTAGAGTTCGCTACTTAGCTTTAAAATGAGGTATAATGTGCCATGATCGATACAAACTATACCCTGTCTATGACTAAGGCACTTTACTCTCCACACTGATCACTACTGGGACCAGACCAGCAGAGGCAGTAGCATTCATGAGAAACGGCCACGATAGTACACGCATGTGGGTGTGTATGTTATTGGTCTGTTGATGTGATTCATTGTTGTGGTTTGCTATATAAAGTGAAAGTAAAAAGTACAATGGGATTATCTATGCAACTAGCTGCGATCAGGGTTAAAACTAGTATTGAAACTATAAACTAATTTGGGCATGTGCAGATACTACATAAAATTACATTAATAGGACAACATTTGACATGTATTAAGCATGTTTTCAGATTTACTTTATTTGCCATTTGCAATAAAACCACATTGGAATACATTTGAAAAATCCCCCAGAATGCACAAGACAAGTACGTGAATAAAACAAGGTTAAAAGTACAGGAAGAAAAAGTGCTGGAAACAATTGTCACTGTGAAATCGATCAACTAAAACAGTTTCAATA